AAAGGTCAGAGACCACCCTTCATTTACTTAAATTCCAGTCAAAACAGCCATTAAGTTCGGGTTTTTCCTTTTTCCAGGTATTTATCCAGGAGATATTTCTGAGGACATTAAATATAAGATACTACACCTACATAAGGAAGGGAAAAGTCAAAGGAAAATAAATCCAAAGAGTTCAAAAAATGATTAAAAGATATAGAGAACACAGCACTCAACCACGCAAGACCTGGTAGACCACCAAAACTGTTACCATCATCTGCTTTCATTTCAGAGAAAGAGGAGAAAATCAAACTCCACTGTTGGTTTATCTCTGAAAAACCTGTGAAGACAACTCAACACTAAAGGATGATAGGATAGTCTGAAAGGATGTGTAGCTGTCAAGAAGCCCTTACTTAGAAAAAGAAACAGACATCGTTGAAGCCTCTGTGTAATTTCCTATTAAGCGTTTTCTGCTTTTTTACCTGACGCTGAAAAATGAATAACTTACTTAATGGCCGTTTTGACTGTATTAAATAAATTGAGTGATCTCTGATTTTGCACAGAACTGTATGTCTGCATGTTGTTGATGTCGCCAAAGTACTTGAAGAAGGATAACAAGGCTCAGGGTGCCTTTTGACATCATGATGCCACAAGCAGTTTTTATAACATTATTTATGATATTGCACATGAGGGTCCTGCACATTAATGGATGATAGTGATTCTATTTAGTTATTTAACTGCACTATTTGTAAATAGAATCACTATCATCCATAATGTGCAGGACCCTCATGTGCAATATCATAGCTCCTATATTCATGCTTCTTTATTTTACTTTTTAGTTAAAATTATATATTTTTTATTATTTTAAATTGTATCACTTAAATTATATAGCCTTTTCCTTTATGATATTAATCTTGCATCTTATATCAGCTTATATTTTTCTTTTATTCCTATTTTAATGTTTTTTGTTAATGCACTGTTAAGATTGCTGCCCAATTTCGTTTGTGCTCATTGCAATGACACAGTACCTTATCTTATGATGGTGGTATGCAGTATATGAGAAATGTAGCTCTTATATACCGTATGAAAATAACTAAAGTGCAGAGGCCCCCACAACTAGTACTGAAACATCTTAATCAGTCACAGGATTAGTCAAGAAAAGACGTGCAAAGCAACACTAAGAGCATGCACATGACCTAATCCCAGTTCATTTCCTGTGGTGAAGTCTACATGGAAATGTAGCCACCTGTGCATCTGTACAGCAAGAAAACTGTGGCTTCTCTCCACACTGCGAAGCTGGAGGAGGGCATTCCGCATCACTCAGAAGCGCAAGATATTAGAACATGTCACAACAAGATTCAAACCCATGCACCCTGTTTCTGTAATTCAGTCCATTCTTATAGCAAGAATGAATTAAACACTTACCTTCACTGTAAGGAAACAGTGGCTACAGATGTAAAAGCTATTGACAAAACCCTGAGGGAAGACTACTGGGTGAGAGAAAGATGAGCAGAGAAAGGCTGAAACAAACACAATTGCAGGCGTAACACAATAGAAGAAACGTTACATAAATGCACACTGAAAGCAGCACACAAAGTACAATCCTTTTTTCTTTTTTAATAATTTCTTTACAACAAAAAAAAGAAACAATCTATATAAACTTAGAATTGACTTCCTTAAATACATAAGCAGGATATAAATATTACAAAATACATCATCTTTGTTTCTTTAACAATTTCTCTTAAGATCAAAATTCAACCCTAAACCAGTGAGTTTGGTGCTTTTGCAATTTGCTTCACTACATTAGACATTTTGGTTGAAACATTATTGCAAATCTCTTTCCAACAGAAACTGACCATGTGCATCTAAAGTAGGTGAAAGAAGATGAGCAGGGCAGTATATTTTCTAAGAGAATAATGTTCTATACTAATGCAACATCCCTATTCTGTACAGCTAGCATAGCTCATCTATAGCAGCTGATTTACTGTTGAGATGAGCCCTTCCAATAATTTCATTTCTGTACACTGAAAATGTGATTAAAAATCTGCTATTTCAGCTGTGACTTTACAGTGGAATCTGTAGAATGCTCTATAAATATTTTGCATCCATACATATTACGTGTTTAAGCTCCTTTAAAATGTGCTTAAAACATTAAACACTTTATTGCGAGGGGTTCTGCGATAATTAGAATAAGTGAAAATTAACCCATTTCTGCACACTCCGTTCTCTTCCCTCACATTCCCATTCTTTCAACCTCCCTTCTGTTTGTCCTTGCCTTTCTCTCCCTCTCTCTTCCCTCCTATGTGCCCTTATCACTCTCTCCAGATGAACGTCTGCTCGTTAGTCAACTGTCTGCAAAGCTGCTAAATCACATTAAGTATGCAGGGAACACAAAAGCAACAGCAGCATACAGTACTGGGGGAACATGGTTACTCACAACACATTACGGGCCTAAAAACAACACTACTGACACATTTAGAATCCGGCAACAGAGGCTTAGGAAGGTTTTAGCGTAGTGTAATTCAATGGAGATCTTAATTTGAAGCATTTTTACACGTTTCATTAAAATGTGTCATTTGTAAGTCACTCATATGTATGCAGAAATGCAGAAAACATCAAAAGATACAAGCCCATATTTACTGATCTAGAAAATGTTTTTACCTTTAATGTACTCGGAAATGCTTTTACATATAGTCGTATGTGAAAGTTTGAACACTTGTAGTCAAATGACGTGTTTTTTTATTTACTATGTGAAAATAGCTCCACATCCTCTACAGGGAACAAACTTGTATATTACATTTTGCAGGAGAATGCCAAACACAGTTTGCTGCGTTTAACATACTGGAAAAAATACAACATAAAATATAAAATGTGCCTTTTTGCACAGGCCACATTTTTGTAGTGTTCCCCCCAATACTGTAATTTTGGCAAATAAACAGTAATTGTGTATTCAAATGTGCAGAAGTGTGATCTCTTTAGAGGATAAGTTAATTTATTTTCATTTAGAAAATCAACAAATCGTGTAGTTTGATTAGGGGTGCCTAAACCTTTGCATACAACTGTATATCAGTCTTTTCCTGACCACCGTAGGCAACTATTCCAAACTCAGACATATTTAATTAAGTGTTAAAGGCCCCAGAAAATCTGAAAAGAGTTCAAAGGTAAAGATGTGATTGGTATATCAGTATGTATTCATGTTATGAGCTCTTGCTTCACCCAATACTGCTGCTCAACACAGGAATGCATGAATAAATAAACAATAACTTAATCAGTTACTTGTAACACAGTAAGCTGACAGGAACAAACATAAAAACAAAAAACAACACAGCTTTCAAACATTACTGTATTCTGTACCATAAGACATAGAGATTAGCTTTGAGTGCAGTTATACAACACCACTGCCCCCTGGTGGTCACAGTCAAAAGGACAACAAAGAACCGCAAACATTTCATTCCAGTCTCTGAACCCGGCAACATTTGAAAGAAGTGTTACTGTTAAAATTTCATAACTGACAATCAATAGGAACTTTAACTATGTACACATTGTGCCAATATGAATATGTAATAGTAGTGAATGGGCCCTAAAGAGACTGGAACAGACACTAAAGTAGCTTTAGTCAGACACTGGAGGCACTTACATTTGCAAGCACTAAGAGAAAGTTTAAACTTTGAAGCCCTTTAAACAGGTGTGAGGAGACTTTACTATTCACGCCAGCATATTACAGGACAAAAGCAGTCTTTATAAAAGACACTCCTCCTCGCGTACAAAATACTACAGCATCCTGAAAGACTGACTGAGCGTATGCTAAGGCAAAGCGGTGGAGAAGCCCTTTGGAAAGTGGACACTAAAAACAGCTACAATTTTTAAAAGCAAGCACTCATTTTCAGATCAAGTTCATAGAGTCCTGATGGACCTCATAGCTTTCAGGGGTTACACTGATGCATTTAGTGTTGTTAATTTGTGAGTTTAAAATCATGAGAATAGATTCAACAAAAGTCTCTGTTAACAGACAACAGCAAATTCTTAAACATAAAGGTGCTAAAAAGGTTTCACGGAGTGACGAAACACGTTTGGGTCTTTGTAGAATCTTTCAATAGATGAGTCTTTAAAAAACACTTTTGTACATGTGTAAGTGTGAAAACCTTAAACATAATGTAAAGGTTCTATACCACTTAAAGGGCCTTTCCTAGAATCATACGTCCAAGCCGAGAACAACTGAGGAACCTTTTTTTTTCTTTCTGGAAAATGTAAATTATGTGAAGGTTCAAATTTAAAAAATATTCTATACCTACTCAAAGTTCTTCCTAGAACCCTACACCCAAGGGAGGAACCATTTAGGAACCCATATTTTCAAGAGTGTACTAAACATTTCAATTATGTGAAGGGGAATTCCATCAATTTTTCAAAAATTCTCCATAATTAAATATAGTAAAGATGTAAACAAAGTGTTGTTTGATATGAAATGCTCTGTTTTGAGAAACTTTCCAAGTCAGAATGTGATGGGAACAGTAGTGGTGATAGGAACCAGATGTCCAAAGAGTTTAATGCCTCTAAAAGCTCCCTCAGAGAATGTTATTACATGAAATGGTTATGAATACACTGCCTGATGTCTGAGACATTGTTTTATGATACTCTTGAGAATGTTTTGGCCTAAAACATGTTTTTAAAATATATTAAATGTGGAGACTTGCATGCAATGTGCTGTAAGGTAAAATAGTGCCCAAAGAAAACTTTTTTCCAGATTTATCACTATACATACACTAGACACTATGACATAAAAATTTACAACACATATGAAGGTGCACTGGTCATTTTGGATTGTAAATACAATGTCTATATTTGTGTTGCAGATACTGTGAACCCTGGTTTCTATCAACACCACTAAAGAAATGTTGGTAAGTCTCTCTTTAATGAACCATTTCACATCAAATCACTCTGAATTGCTTATATCACAAGGACTGAATTACGCAGAAGTTTTGAAACCTTTACAAAAGTAATTTTTTAAAGAAACATCCATTGAAAGGTTCTGTAGGGGAAGCAAAAGTGGCTCCTCTATGGCACTGCTCCAAAAGAACCCTTTTTGGCACCTTTATTTTTAAGAGCATATCATGAAGATTAATTTTGCAGCCGTTTCTGTAACAGTATTCTACATTTTATATACAACTCTGGTAAGAGAGATAATCTACAGCATAAAACAGTCACTGTGTTCATTCTGTGCCTATTTACTGCAGTGTAACAGTGCAGTACTGGGTTTAAGTGTGCACACTGCGTCAGTGCCAGGCTATGTGGATGGCAGTGCCCTTACATATGCTCATTTAGTTTTGCATTTCCATCCTGCTCCGTCCTGTGGTGAGCAGCATATGCCTCATAGGTCACAGCTTGTGCCAGCTCTGTGGAAGTGCACTGCTGGGAAGCTTTGTTAATGTGTGAAAGCGACACACACTGATTAGGACACAGTCGCACACTCTTGCATACACACACACGCGCACGCACACACAGTCTATGCAGTTAGGTGCTGGTAGAGCAGGTAGAGCAGGGCCATGGCGAGGCAGTAGAAGAGCAGGAAGCCGGTGGGAACGATGGAGAAGGGAGAGGGTGAGGGAGATAAAGCTTTCTCCTCCTCCTTCAGCTCCTCCTCTCCTCCTCCTATCGCCAACAGAGCCTCCACACAGCGCTGTACTGCACGCAGCTTGCTGCACAGGATATCAGACGCTAAACAAACCTCCGTCTGAGAGAGAGAGAGAGAGAGAGAGAGAGATAGAAAGAAAGAAAGCAAGCAAGAGAGAGAGAAATGAAAGAAAGAAAAGAGGGAGGGAGAAGAGGGAGAAAAAGGGGGAGAAAAATGGGGAAAAGAGAGAGAGAAAGAATGAGAGTGAGTGAGAAAGACAGTGTAAAAGAGAACAAAAAATAGAGAGGGGGAGTAGGGGAAGAGAGATGAGTAGAGGGAAAGAGGGGCACAGAGAGGGAGAGAGTGATAGAGAGGGAGATGGGAGAGAGAGAGACAGTGAAAGAAAGATAAAGAAAAAAATACAAAAAAGGACAATAGTACGGGGGAGTTGGGGAGAGAAGGAAAGAGACAAAGAGAGAGGAAGAGAGGGAGAAAAAAAGGAGAGAGGGAGACAGAGACAGAACGAGAGAGAGAGAGAGAGAATGTGGAGAGGAGATAGCGGAGTTGGAGGAAGGGAGGGATGAGGTTATGAGGGAGCAGAGAGAGATTGATGGAGGGAATGTGAATTGAAAGCCAAGAGAGAGAAACAGCAAAACGTGTTGAATGAGCGTAAAGCACAATGCATCAAGGACATTGAGTGCAATTATACAATGACAACAAAACAAACAAAACAAACAAGTAGAACAAGACTCATACATTAACAAGCCACACACTTCAGACAACACAGCACAGAGAAAAGAGTGCAGAAAACAAAAGAGAGTCAGGCAGGAAGACAGGAAGTTCATTTACCTCAGGAACACCCAACTTGCGGCAGGCAGCGATGAAATTTTCAACGTTGAGGCGACATTTGGCAGCGCTCAGTTTTGGCTTTGAATGGAACAAAGTAAAAAAAAACAGCGTGATTTGACTTGTCTGGTAAAATATACATGATTTGATCAAAAATGATCCATGATAAGCATCAGAATATTTACATACAGACGCAATGTACAAGAATGTGTCGCATTTAAAATAGTAAAATGATTTTTGAGTTTTACAATGATTTTTATTCAGCATTTCACATTCTGTGCTGCACTGCATCCAATTAAACAAGACCAACTATACTCTCTTTGCAATGAAAATGCAGCTGGTCAGTGTTTTCCAAGTACAGACTATATGACCAGAAAAGCACATTGTTCATCAAAGGAACAAAATTTATCTTGATAATGATAAAATATTGTTATACTGCCCACCTTGCATAGTTTCACAGTAGTTAATGAGAAATAGTAGTAGTTATTGGAGGTAATTTTAATAGGTCATAGGTATTAAGATAATAACTGAATGATAAGCCAACAGTTTAAGAGATTAAACTAGAGAGAAAGATTAAGATTAGTGAGAACTCACCACTGCGGGGGAGGGAATGTGGATGATTGACACAGATCGAGGGCGTACATGATTGGCTAGCTGGCAGAGGACTGTGCCGTTAGACAATGCTTCCCCCAAGTCTTCAGGAAGAGTGATCTTCAGACGAGACTCCAGAGACTGAGAGAGAAACAGAGGTCTGCAGTTAACTAAGGATATGCATGTATTTTAAATAGTGCTGTCATTATCAACTATACGCATAATCAAGTAATCTGCTGTTTATTTTGATGATGAGGGGAGAATGGGATATATCGCACTAGTGGGTAAAATGAGCCACACTTTATTTTTTCACTGTATTTAGGCAACCATAGAAATACCCATGTGATCACAGATTCAGGAAGAATAGTTCATTTCACATGAATTCTGATTAAGATGAACATGTGAAGAGATTGGTGAGCTAACCAGAGCAAAAAAAATATGATTTTTTTATGCCAAATGAAATTATAAAGGGTTTAGATGTCATTAGTCTTGCATGTAAGAAGAAACAGATAGACTTAGAATACTTTTACATATTAGTTTATGGCAGTATAAGCCTCAACATGAGGTCATAAACGAAGAATAACTGTGAGTCTGAATTCATTTAAGGAGCAATTTTCTCAGAATAGGGGTTTGTGGGGTAAATCGTGCCACTGGTCTTATGTATATTCACTAAATATAATTAGGTAAAATGCATTCATGCATGTTGTACGGTAGTAATATAGCAGAATCTCCTTCATGCCAAGAAGCCACAAATGTAAAACCAGTATGCAGAGTCCCATTGGAGGATCTGAGAAGCAGCAATCAGAAGGGAAGTCTATTTGGTCTGCTGCAGAGGAGGAAAGGATAGAATGACACTAAAACGATACACTGAGAAACTTGTTCAAGGAGAAATTCCCAGTCCAGGTTATTACAGACTAGCAAAGGCTCATCAGATTTTTGATGAAAAGACGGAGGAGCAGGTTCACCAGTTACTTTGTTCTCTTTTAAATCATACCTATAAATTACATAGCGAACGCAACCTCTCTTCTTTTAATACTACTGCTTTGATTAAAATGAACTAGATTGGAGATTCACTGGAGTGATTTTATTTTGTTTTTTATATAGGTAGGTTATTTAAATGTGGCACTTTTTACCCCCATTAGGCTCAACTTTCCCCCTCCCTGAGCTCAAGTTACCCATGTATGCAACTTTTTTTAATGGGTCATACTTCTAAAGCTGTAATAGCTGAACATAATTTTTTAAAATCTATGGATGCACAACAACCCTAAATATACATAGAAACTACTATCTGGAATAAATACACATCTGTTTTACTGTAAAATCTGCAAAAGAATTATAAAAAGTGGCTTGTTATGCCCTGTTCTCCCTTAGTATGCATAGCCCAATATAAATTATTAGAAAAGAAAAGAAAAGAAAAGAAAAAAAAAGGAAAAGAAAAGAAAGACAAAAACTGTGTGTTAAAGTGAACCTGACAGAGAACTGGCCGCAAATGTCCTCAGTGCTTTCTGTGTTCACAGTGTGAGTAAACTTTACAGGGACTCTGATCTCTTTCCAAGCCTATTTAGCATTTACGAGATCCCAATCTACTTGTTCACTCCAAAACTCCTTTAGAACTCAGACCCCACCTGGGTAAAGCCAAATTACGTGTAGTGTTGTTCAAGTACATGATGCAACAGATCTGATGTTCAAAGCCATGGTAAAATACTCCAGTAGCACCAAGCTATTAAAAACCATTAAAGGTTACCAGTGTTCATGAAATCACCCTTGATCTAAATGATTTGGCATTTTTGTTTTCATAATGCACAAATAATCAGACCAGTAAACAAACCACAACAAGCTGTACTGAGACCACCTCAAAAGCATTCACCTCAAGAGGTAAGAGGGTCCAGTAGAGATTTTTTTTTCATTTCAGCAACAGTTTCTTTCAGATCAAACAACTGAGTATAAAGTTTATGTAAACTGGAATGCGGAGCTGAGCATCTCGGTCAGTGATTGGTGGGGGTAATAAAACATTATATCAGTTACTTTTCCCCACCCATTGGTGCACAGTGATGTCACCAAAATTCAGAAGACATTTTTGAGGTAGGTAAGGAAGATTATGGAAAAATGGGAATTAAGTCTCTTAAATGATATGATGTGATGAATTGGGCTTAATATGACCAGAGACATGAACTGAGGTAAAAAGAAGGTCCAATGATTTCAGGTTGACTCTCATCAAGTAATCGCATTCAAAATGCACTATAAAATGAAAACAATAACTGAGGGTGTATAAAGAAAGGTGTTGAGTCGAGCTGTCAGCAGGACAAACTGAATAAAATGTGAGATGGATAAAGTGAGGAATGAGGAGATGTAACGAAAGTGATCTTTACCTTGCGTAAGTGAGAGACGTCTGCTCTCTCCTCTCGTGGTGATTTGAGCGTAGAACGAGACTCACTGCGACCAGACTCAGCCAAACACTGCACAGAGCCTGAAAGAAACACAACAAAATACAATAAGTATAACAATACCAGTGGTCTTAAAGAGGGCTTCATTTATGCAGGAACAAGTTGGACCCAGATCAGACACCTTCCAGATTAGATCCAGCATCTATTTTAGTGGATCGGACACCTTCCTCACATGTACAGATGTATCTTTAATAATAACTTTAATAACAAAATTTTCTACAAACAATTAGGCTGCATGTAAGTGAGTGTGTGTTTGCACCTGAAGGCTTGACATTGCAGCGTGAAGAAGTACGGAAGAGGAAGCTGTTGGGTTTGGGAGTAGAGCCAGTGGGAGAGCAGGGCTTAGTGGAGGGAACATCTGAAAACAAACCAGAAGAAACACCTCAGAAAAAAGCTTTCATGCTGTGTGAGGATCTCATACACACTGATGGAAGACTGATCTCTGCGTAACTGTTTGCAAACAGTGCAGCATTCTTTACCTGTGCGGCTTGCTGAGCGCTGCAGGGATACTGACTGAAAGGTGGAGCTCATCTGATCCGCACTCTGTAAGAAGAGCTATCACTGTCAACATCTTATTAACTGAGTAACCTACAGACTATTCTGATGATTAACCAAGTTTTTTCAGCTCCCAAAATAATTAGCTGTTAAACTGAGAAGGCTTTTAAAAAGTCTTCAGGTAAAAAATGAAAACATCATGTAGCAAACAATGCATTTAATGTTTTTTTTTTAATCAAGCACTGAGGTTCAGCTGAATAACTGCCCTAAATGAAATGAGAGAGAAACACAGAGATGAAATGAAATGAAAGAGACTGACCGCACATCTCTGTCTGAGTCCATTAACAGAGGCACTGCTTTCTGTAGACTCACCACTAGAGGGAGACAGAGACAGCTTAAGTGTTGAACAGGTCACAGAAAAATCCAAAACACTCCTATATAGAGGATTCATGCTTTCACTTAACTATTTTTACCAAAACCCATTTTTGTCCAACATTTCATCTTGTTAGGACAGTATACCTACGACAGCCTGTGCCTCACACTGGACTGTGTATTAAAAAGCAATAATTTAATGATACTGACCAATTTACTGTACCAATGTTATAATACAACAGTACAGTATTGAAAGACTGTGTTGTTTTTTTATATAAACAAATACATAAATATATATATTTTATATAGATTAAGATATTTTTGAGCGAAGTGAAAGATTTAGAGTTTAATTCTTACATAAAAAAAACTTCATTCAAAAAATGCTGTCTAACGTTTTCATGTCCAAAAAACAGTTTCAGTCCTCAGGCGGAACCTTATTTTAGCCACACCCCTGCAATTTAGAGCAGGAAGTGAGACTGCATCCCTGCCCCTAATGGCCACAAGGTGAGCAGTTAGATCACACTGTTTTGAAATAAATGTGTCTCCAAGTCTGGAAATCAGTGTGTAATCTTAAGAATTGTCACTACTGATACATATTTTCTGCAGTGACGTAAAGTTTTTGTGCTGTGATGAAAAATATTATGATTTCATGCATATACAACTGTTCAAAGCCGTGTTTGTTCGTCACATCTTGGCTAAAGTTTTTAAGTTAAATTAACAAAAATTGTCAATACCGAAACAGTCACTATCATTCAGTGAAGTTCGTCCATGGTCCATAAAATTTTAATCAGTATCGGAGTCAAAGTATAGGCATTGGTATCAGTCTCGAAACATTCAGAATGATACCCAGCCCTACTCCCAAATGTCAGTGGCTTTCCTTTTGCTACCAAGGCTGGGGTGAAACTGACAGAACTCAAACTAGAACAGACATGCTTGCGCACATTCAGTCAACCACAGAACACAACGCAGGCCTCAGCTCTCTTACCCTGAGACACTTCCTGTTCCTGTCTGTTTGGCTGTCACCACCGAGTGACTTCCTGTTTTCACTGCCATCTTCTGCAAACTGGAACAAAGTAACACACTTTAAAAATCAAAGAAATCTAAATAAAGCTGCATCAAAACTAATAAGGGAATCTCTAGTTTAGTATAACAGTGTGTGGCACTATCCACGCACTCGCCGGTGTCGTCGTGTGAGCATTATCAGTGTTTTGTTCTGTTGGCACAGTTAGCTTTCGATACCTATCATTCTGCTTTGATGCATGATGCAACAGACTAATGAAGTAACATTGTGAGTCATCAAATATCTGGTTTCCTGCAGAGCTGAACATAATGTTATGCAGTGCACTTTATGTAATTATTTATGGATTATTTAATGTAGGAATCTGTGTTTATTCATCCAGACATCAACCCTCCTCATCCCAAGCAGCTCTCTGTACTGTTTCCTGATGAGGTGTATTTCTCCCTTTGGGATTCCAGTTATGTCTCAGAGTATTTTATCTTTCTGTAACCCAGTCAACCTCCCTGCACTCACGTGCTGTCCCGGGCCCTCTCTCGCTGCTGCTGCGCTCGTTCTCTCTCCTGCCACAGCTGCAGCGTTCCAGGCCTTTTCTTCTCCTCCAGCGTAGGACTGGATGGAGAGCCTTCTGCTGAGTCACTGCCCACACATCTCCTGCAGAGACAGACAGAGAGAGAGAAAGAGAGAGAGAGAGAGAGAGGGAGAGAGAGGGAGAGAAGTGGGAGAGAGAGAACATTGTTAGGTGAAGGGCACAATGTTCCTTTGGCTGTCCAATATGTAAAAGAACGCCACAGCTTGACATGGTTATATTATAGTTCTACTGTTATATTATATTGTCATACTTAGTATATGCTGTGCATCAGGCCTAAATTTTGGATCCAAGCCTAACAAAAATCTGCCCAAACCTACTGTTTCAGTCCCACCATTTTCTTTCACACACATCCACTGGCCTTGTGAATCTCACAACCAACAACACAAGTCTAGTGCAACACATTCAAAATTCTCTATGGTTAAAAAAAGGACAGAGGAAGGATAGGGAAGAGATAAGTCCTTATAGGAAAGTCTGTCATACAAGACCTCTCTCTATCTCTAAAAACTCAAAACTGAAGGTCAACTTACCTTACATTCAAAAATATATTTAAAATCACTGTTAAAATCTGACAAAAAGGTCATAAACAGTTTGTACCCTTTGGTTCAAATAAAAGCACAAAAACATGTTTTATGGGTTGTTCTAACTACTGCACTTGCACAGGTCTCCACAACCAAGAGGGGCTTTTAGCACTTGCAGTTTTACCAAACAAATGGGTCTTTTTATTGGCTCTTTCTCTGTTCACACACCATGTTGAGCATTCTGAGCTTTCCCATTCATTTTCCAACCAGTGGCCTGTCTCCTCCTTTATAATGTAAAACCTAAAGCAGGGTTAATGCTAAAATCCATTAAAGGTGGATTTCAGAAACCTGAATGTAATAATCAAATAATCAGCAGGACATTAAGAAGCTAGAATGATGCATCTAGAATGATGAATATAGAAAGCTGTACAGCATCGAGGATTAAACTAAAATACAATTAACATCCAGAATCCATCATATTAAAAAAAAGTGGAGATCAAATCCCATGGGCAAAAATCTCAACGTCACAAAAATTGAATGCAAACAGATAATTACAGTGTATTATTTAGCATTTTGTTCACTTCTTGTTTACAGAAATCTTGAAATATTGAATAAAATATCCAACATTCAATTTTTGTCGACACTTTATAATATTTCAATCCACAGTAGTTTAATTACTGTGTATAAAATAACAAAACATTTTAATATAGAAATTGGTTTTAAACTTTTAAACAGTAGTATATATAAATGTGTGTGTGTGTGTATTGACTGATTAATAGATTCATGCATGATAATTAGATTTAAATGCTACAGCAACGTGCGATGGCAACACTGATTTAATATGGTCATGCCAATAAAGCTTTGTTGACTTAAGAAGAGAGCATATGAGAGAGAGAGAACAAGAAAGAGAGAGAGAAAGAGAAAGAAAGAAAGAGACAGACAGACAGAGAGAGAGAGAGAGAGAGAGAGAGAGAAAGAGAGAGAGAGAGAGAGAGAGAGAGAGAGAAAGCAAGAAGGGTGGTGCAGAGGGAGGGCCAGAGATGATGAACAGAGAAACCACGCCCTTAAAAGAATAACCATGACTATGAACCTCCAGTCATCAGAAATGCCAGCAGCAGCATTTGGGGGTTTTTAGTCTTATGACTGGAACTGTGAAAAACAGCTGAACAAGAGGACCTGCACACACAACCATAACCCAGTCCAGTCTCAGCCTCTTTTACACTGGAATATGAAAAGAACAACACTGTGCTTATATCAGCACTGTGAATGTGAACACGCTGGGTTGATGGCAGAGGAAATCAGCAAAACCTGGATTTACATATGGCAGAATGGGGAACTGAAAGAAAAGGTCTGAAACAGTGATTGAACAGTCAGAGTGAGCCTTCATGTTTGTAGTGTAAAGGCTGAACGCCTGCTGCCAGTATGGCTAGTCTTTAGTGAATAACCTACAACCAGTGTTTGCAGTCATGCCGTCATGGACTCTGAGAAGAAACCTAACTACACAAAAAAACCCACTGTTGACTTTTCCCAGATCCGCAAACACACACTGAGAGGTTGACCTTGTCAAACACATGAAGGAAAACAGGAGGGGGCAGGGAGGAAGAAGGGAAGAAGATAGGCAAGAATCCTTTTTCTCTAATGAAATGTTTTTGTAAGTAAACCCCATGTGATAAACAACAATTATTTAAAAAGATTCATGTAATTCAACTAACCAAAAGCATCACCAGGCTTCCCACAAACTGGCTATTACCCATAATGATGAGGTCATGTTGTCATTGCAGAGTGTACATGGAGATTTACCTGCTGCCTACGGAGTCTGGGCTTTGGGAGGGTGTGGTCCTGCTGCTTTCAGTCTTCTCCTGAAAAACACAAACCAAAGGAATGATACACACTCCTACACAGTGAGATACAGTGAAAATTTGCCATTTTAATAAGATTAGCCATTTGAAAATCCACATTTTTTTGAATGAATACTATACAAACATCCAAGAAAACATATTTAAAATGCTGTTATGAATAAATAACAAAATTATGGAAGTTTCAACACTCCTTTATTGCATTTGGTTGACTTTGTCATCTTCTTGCTTTTGGCCTATGTAATTTGATATACTATCAGTTGCCTGGTAGAAATGTAACAATAACACACATTACATTTATCATCATCATCAAAACATATAATCAAACAAAAGAAGCTACTCTAGATCTTAGAACAATGGACTTCCCACCCCAGAATTCAGACCTCAACATCACTGAATATGATTACTTGAAAGGTGATGAGCAGAAAATGCAATCAACCTCTAAGACTGAACTTTGGAGGTGTAGAAAAATATTTGACAGAAAGTCTCCTGAATGGAAAAATGGAAGCTGTAATAAAGGCAAGGATGGACACCCTAAATACTGAAAAACTGTTAGACATGGAATGATGTTAGACATGCAATGTCAGTGTCCTCCTGACCTGTGGGGGTGATGTTTGTGGAGGACTAGGAGGCTCCGGCTTGCAGCTCTCATCCTCCTCTTCTGTTACACTGTTGTCAATAAAATCCACCTGCTCTATATCTCCATTCACCACTGAAAGAGGACGGGAGAGAGAAGAGACACAACAGAGAGGCCAGTACTTCCTATATGCACTTTCAGCCAATATGTAACACATTGTAACCAACTTTTTTATATTTGTGTTTGAGATGGTAAGCACCTTTGGGTGTTTTCAGCAGCCTATCTTTCTCCTCTTCTTCCTGTAGATTTGTGTGCTCACGGGAAATTTCAGGCATTCGCAGAGATCGCTCTGAGAAATCATCAGCAGACTGAAGAGAGACACAAACATGCTCACTTTGCTTAATGTATAATTAAGCAATAGAACACAGGAGGGAGTGAGTTACTGTGAATAACATCATGGTTTCATTTGGTCACAGGCAAAAGCCAAAGGAGAGTACCACAGACCATCACAGTGATATACTCCCTCTCGCATTCTGTTTCTTTTATACATTTCTGCAAATTAAAGAAAAAACACAAAGCAAACAAACCCCAAACTTTGTATCACTTGTGCTTTAATATTGGCAATTCCTTCCGCCAACAAAAGTAGTAGCCTTTTGTATTATGGCTAGAGTCAAAAAAGGTTCAACTCCACTTTTTTCTGGTTTTGTTCTAGCCATTCTGTATAGTATTTTTGCTCATCTTGTTTGCCAAACTGTATTCTAATCCTGTCTGGCTAATTCCAGCTCGTTTAGTTGTTCTGCTATCATAGAAGTAGACCAAAAATCTTGCTTAGGAGCCACGACAGATTTAGAATTTACTCTTCTTCAGAAATCTCACCAAACGGGCTGCAGGTCAAATATTATCTTACAGAGGTTATGTTTGAACAGCATCCTATTATCATATCTAACAGCATGGGTAAAATGCTTCTCAACAATCAGACTGTGTCATCAGAACTAAATGTATGACATTGTGATAAGACATAAGTCTTATGTAAACAAATCATTAGAGCTGAAATGTAGCTAAAGTTTATTAAACTGCCATTCTCCTAGTCCTTACCTCATTTCCTGACCATCTCTTGCTGCCACTGTCCACACTGTTGAAGCCAGAGTCCAGCCCACTATACTGACCAAGAAACAGCTCCTGATCTGAAAGACTAGAAGGAGAGAACACACAGACAGGGATCTGGTTCAGTGCTCCTCTTCTACTGATATCCGTCTCATCTTCTCTAAGCTCCTCCAGTGACATCTGTACATTGTTTTCCAGTCGTGTTCTCATTTGCCACTACTAAAAAACAGTGCCTCAAAAACACATTTGGTGGAGACTGATTCAACTCTGTAAAGAATATGCTTATGAACTGAAACTAAGAATTTATGATTAGATACAAAATACTGATCAGAATGCTTTGAGAGTGGACTCTTGACTGTTAGTTATTCTCTCAGCGACTAAGATTAGATCGAAAATTCGGACGAAAAATAACAATTCTGTGAGATCTGGACAACATTTACAGTGCCCACAGTTTACAAGAGCAAATTTAGGATTTTGGAACCAGGGGTGGATAAAACATAATACATCTGTTTTAAAAGTAAAAAACAAAAACAAAAAAAAACAAAAAACAGTAAAAGCAGTAATAATCTTACATAGGTATGCAATATAAAAATGAAGGGCAGATGCCAATATCTGATAGTTTTCATGTACTACTGATGCCAATAGATTTATAAAATGTTAAAACTGGGACTTAATCCACCTGGATTAGCATTTCAGCAAATTATTACATTTATTTCTGTAGGGTTAGAGATGCAGAATAAAATGCAGCCCAGTACAACCTAAACATTCTTCTCATCTGGGCTACAACACATACATCAAATATGGGTTAGAAATATTGGTCAAATCTAAACTTCTGTCCTACAAGCAAACATCTGTCTACAACAACATGATTCCAATATCTTGCATCCCTAATATTACACAAATTCTATATATTTTTCTATTTGAATAAAAGTACAAAAGCACTTGCTTAAGAACGAACTTAAGAATCAAAAGCAAAAGCACTTGGAGTTATTGTAGATATTGTGTTATATTATTTTGATTAACAAGTTTGCAAATGCAAGTACACAAGTCTCCCAAATAGAACTTGTTAATCAAAATAACACAACACAATGTCTATTACAACACAAAGTACTTTTGATACTGAATTACATTCACAAGCAAATATAATTGTACTTTAACGCAAGTATAAATACTTGTACTTAAATAATATTTTATCAAAAGTATTCCTTTTTTTACTCAAGTATAGAAGTATTGTCTTGTCCACCCACGCTTAGAATTCAGCCAAATGCCTTGTGTAAAACTGCAGCATAAGAATACTTATTCAATGATGCCAAAACTTAAACTGATAGAAATACACCACCTGCCACCATCAATCTCTCCCTCGATCAGACATTCTTCAGTTAATGAAACATTTTTCCACCACCAGCACTGCCACCAAATATCTTTCACTCTCACATCTGTTTTCTCCGCCCCCCCATCCCTATGTCCTGTCTCACCAGCTGTTGAAGCCGCTGGGCCGCAAAGCTCTCTCCAGCTGGTCCTGGCTCCTCTTGCACGCCTCCATGTTCAGGTACTTGAAGATGTGAACCTTCCCTTTGGAGCAGATCTGGGCCGGGGGCATCTGCAGAGGGTTATTGTCCAAAGAGATGGTCTGCAGATGCTGCAGATGCCGATAGCATACTGGAACATGGGAGATGCGGTTGCATGAAACATCCAAGCGTACGAGCGGCAGCTCAGACAATTCTGTGGAAAAAGGGGTACAAATGAGGTTGCTACATATAGTGTTTTCTATTAGGGTCAGGCAATAATAATGATTATATTATCGTGATAAATTACATTCTATGCTTTTCTGAATACATCAGGGGTATCTTCAGTACTTTAAGAACATTGAACATCTGCGTGTATCATAAAAAGGACAAATTTAGATCATTTATAGCAAGTCTGTAAACAACAACAACCAGTGTAATAGCTATATAAACTGTATAATAACAGGTAGCTGTTTGGATGTCAACCCATTATGCAATTATTTTATTATTTAATCAAATTATTTAACAGTTGTTAGATTTTTCATCCTGTTCCTTTTAAGCAGTCTATCTTACAAACTCTGTTTGTTAAATAAATAAATAAATAAATAAAGCCTTTATTTATTCGCTGCCATTTGCTTGCGAATTTTGTCTGCTCCGACTAGGTTTCAAACCTCAGCTAAACCAAATATTACAAAGCATATCATGTATCGTGAAAATGACTCCTGTGATGTTATATTTTTGCCATATCGTCTAGTCTTATTTTCAGTGTTTGATTGTGGCTGAAACCTCACAGTAAATGGTAATGCACTGGAGACTTGACAAAAGCTTTAGTAAGCCCAGTCCTGTCAGCAGCATTGCCCTTAGGCATTGGCAGGTACAGTAAAACAGGTTGCTGACTGTTGTCTAGCTTCACGTCCCCACAGAGATGGGCCTTTGGTGTGCATATAATGTATGAGACAATGATGATCTAACCCTCTGGCAGGGTGGTGAGTTGGTTTCTCCTCAAGTTCAAATCCCGTAAACACTCCAGCTGACCCAGCTCCACTGGCAAACTCTGCAGCTCATTACAGCTCACATCCTGCAGACAAAGAAAACAAGGAGGCACAGCCTGTAGAAACCAGCAATTACAGTATTTCAGATCCGATTTCCATTCGATATTTAAACATTAGCTTTTAAGGATATTACCAGCAACAACAAAAACATGATGTACTTCGATATTAATAATTTCTCACTCACAGCCCATTGAAAAAAGTAGAGAAATTCTGTTGGAAGCGCAGATTCTAAACTTTCAATCAATCCAACATTTGTACGTGTAAGAAGAAGAGATATTTTGTTATGATTTGAATTTGATTTGTTTTGTGAAAAGAAAAACATACTGTAGGTTTTGCCACATTTTTAACATTTCTCGATATTGATGGAAAAATGTCAAAAGTGCAGATTTCTGTCAATACAAAATGTAAATTAAACATAAATGTAATTCATTGCGTAAATATTTATTTATACAACTTGAATAGTATAGCAGAAAAAAGTAATTCTCGACTTCTGAGGAACAAAGATTAAATTAGGTACACTGCAAACAGAATACATCAACAAATGTGAAGGGGGAATAGAATGAACAGAAAGAAAATAGAAACAGGTAGAATGAGAATCACAGAGAGAGAGTGTGCAAGACAGAGTGAAGGAGAGTGAGAGAAATCTGACACAGTGGTGCGAGTTGTACATACCAGTTGTCGGAGGTGTGTCAGAGTGTGTATGGAAGCTGGGAGGACTGATAATTTGTTGTTGCTGATGATAAGGACTCGCAGCAGGGGGAGCTGACATATGGACGGGGGCAAACTGGACAGCTGATTACGACTGAAACACACATACACAAACCTATAAGTTCACTGTGCGTGGCTTAAACATCCATCAAAACAGCAATGTTACAGTCATAAGCAGGGTAAACTTTTAAAACATTACTGGAGTAAAAGTGCACAGCAGGCTTTGGTGATTTCCAGGAAACACAGTACAGCAGGGTATTATTTTATATCGCATGCATTCACCAGTTACAATACCTTCTACAATCAAATCTAAGATGTATTTCTGTCTTATTTATGTATTAGATGTTAAAACACACCATTGTGCCTCCAAAAATTCATCAAATTCTAGCCTGATGTTGGAGTAATTCTGATACTTAAGGTATAAATATCAAGCAAATAAAACACATACATATAGATAACATGCTATAGTATACAGTAGCATACAGTAGCATACAGTAGTGGAGTATTTCTACCCCTTTACTCTCCAATCCTGTTTGTAGCTATCTGAAGAGCTGACAAGCACTTAAAGGAATAGTTTTCTTCATACCTCAAATGCAGTCATTCAGCCAATGCATGTTTGGTGCCTGACGTTTGCTTTTTTTAGATTTAGACTGGACCTATTAGGCTAATGTACCCAACAGCAAAGCACTGTGCAACTTGCACATCTAAATCATCACACGCTTAACCATGTTGAGTTGTTAGATAATCATCAACAAACTTGGTTATGTGGTATCTGGCACTGCATGACGTGGTGTTTTTTTTTAACAACTATCGAAAGTACGTTGCATAGGTGAAAACAGTAGCAGCGACCATCTTTAACCTGAATTACGTTAGCACTTCTGTCCGTTTTATTTTTATTTATTTATTTATTTTTTTTGTATAAAAGCTTCCATTACTTAGCTGCATTAGCCTTGTAACTTAAATGAAAAACTAAAGAAGAGAATTTTGAATACCAAACATGTCCTCGCTGTTTGATACATTTGGAGTACTTCTGTATACTTTTCTGCCAAACTATTGATTTAGAGGTCGACACCTGACACCAGATCACTTGTAATTAACCTGTGAATAAACATGTGAGTCTGTGAGATACTGCTGTAGCCAACGGCCAATAAGATCAGTTGTGTGAGTATGTGTGACTTTGATGTAGGTAAGGCCCTGTAGACTGTGTGCAGCTGTGTACCTGAGGTTGAGGTAGGTGAGGGCCTGTAGCTGACAGAGCGACGCGGGCAGAGAACGCACACAGTTGTGGTAGATGCTGAGTGTCTCCAGAGAGATGAACTGGCACAGCTCCTCTGACAGCTCACACAGCCGGTTCTTCGACAGGTCTGAGGGACAAAATGAAGATGAAATGACAAACTGATATTTTCAATTTAGTCAGTACAGCATCACCAATGTGACCCAGGCTGAATGCTCATCCAGAACATTTACATCAGCAGTCAATATTGGTAACACCAAATAACACTGGTAATATCAAACCAGTGCTGATATGGTGGCGTTAATCAACAATCATAACATTATTAACAATATCATCAAGCAACAGTAAGTGAAATAGAACAGTTTGCAAAATACATGGTGTAGTGTATAGAGGTGGGCGTTACTGCAAAAATATAATACTGCGATACTTCAAGAAATTTTCACGTTGTACGATATGCCACAGTATTTATTTATTTAAAAACTATGAATACAACAATTTTTATAAAATATTTCACATACGGTGTTGTGCTAAATCCAGTTAAACAGGACTTTTGCACTCTTTATAATGAAACATGCAGTTGGTCTGTGTTCTATGAGCACTGACAATATCCACAATATGTTCAGATTATAATACAGTGGTGTGAGAGAGAGAGAGAGAGAGAGAGAGAGAGAGAGAGAGACAGTAAGAGAGACAGTAAGAGAGACAGTGAGAGAGAGAGAGAGAGAGAGAGAGAGAGAGAGAGAGAGAGAGAGAGACAGACTGAGGTCAAATCTATTGTGCTGCTCGGGCTAGTCCACACATGACGACCATTATGAGATTTCATTCAATGACAACAGTCCAACCAACAGAGAGGAGGAAATACACCATAAACAATCGCACACTTATTGTTTAACACCACTGCACAAGTTCATTCTCAATGCTGGAGATGTTTTCAATTTTGCGTGCAAACAGAATTCACTGACAGGAAAAAACTAAACGGAAAGTAGAAACATTCTCTGGAAACGAACAAAGACTTTTTGAAAGATTTAAGGAAACTGTACTGTGTTGCTATTTTCATTTATGACAGCACACTGAGTGTTGCCAAAAATAGCCACTTTTGTCCAATAATAAATCCAAACTATTTCAATTTCCTACATTTGCCTCCCAGTATGACCTCTTCTGGATCTTACTGCTGCCAAACAGAGGAGCTATATGATCTCTCTTTATTTCTCACACACCAAGTCAAACTCCTTTGCATGCTCTATTACTCCTCTGGAGCTGTGTGTGTTTTCTGTAGTTTCTCACAGCCTCGCTCCCACATGTGTGCACACATACACACCCACACACACGCCCTTTCTTTCTGTGTGCCTCTGGTCGCAGGGTCATGGTGTATTTATGGAGAAGAGCGGATGTTAATTACAAGCCCTGAGAGAGTCCAGAACCACCACCGTCATTACGACTGTGTGTGTGTGTCTGTGTGTGTGAGTGAATTTAGCAAAGCAATAAGTGTACAGTTCAATAGTAACTACTGCTAGCGTGATGTTCACAGGGCTAGAAATGTCTATATTGTATATTGTCTGGTGCCCTGGCCACAACATTTCACGTTTTGGCCACTAAAATGCAGAAACAGAGGCTCGAGCAGACATTTGCTTTGGAATTGTTTTTATTTTAAATCTAGTAGCAGAATCTTTACACATTCACAAAAATTCACCATTAATAACAAAATAACTACTTTTTACTAGGCCTGGGCAATTTCGAAAAACTAATAGCACAATATTTTCTTGTTAAACACACATGATCTGCCGCAGCTTAGACCTACTTTCTATAATATCTTTAGCTTAAAAGCTTTTTAAACAAACTGATTTGATGAAAATCTTCAATTAACTCACATTAACTAAAAACATTACGTATATTAATTAAAATTAAATCTTAAAATTCTGGTAATAAAGTATTTCACCTCTTGTTTTGAAAGATGTGACTGCAAACAGACATGCATTAGTGAGATCCTCCTGTGTAGGTTCACGGCTTCGGGTTACTCTCTCTTTATTCATGCACACAAGAGTGGCTTGCTACGCTAAGAGTTCCCCCTTGTGGAGAAACTTCTGACTGCTAAATGTGCTTGAGTGAGTGCACATTTTTATTAGTGTAACTTTCTAATGAATATTTCCTTTTAAACAGCAAAACCTGACTGTTTTTTGGTAATGAAGCATGTTTGTTAATTGTAAATACATGCATATATAATACAATGTTTCTAAAATTTTGATCACAGTTTGGTTATCTTGACTTACTTTTGGCCTCTAGCTCTGTGATGACCACAACAAACAGATAAAGAATGTATTCAAAGAGACAGCGTGATCATGGAACAATAGGTGAACAGTTGTGTGTGAGCGCATGTGTCCTTGCTCTCCTCTCCCTAGACTCTCAGTCCATGTCTTTTGTTCAGCTGTTTAATTTGGCAAGGAAGCGCTTCCCTCCTGCCCCACACATGCGCACACACGCTTACTTTCCCAGTTCCATAAGGGATTGTGGATTCCCAAGAGTAGAACAAATTTCCCATCAGCTCTGCTGCACTTTGTACCCATAACACCCAAACATGGTAGAGATTAGAGCAGACCAATGAGGTGACATTACAGTCATGCAGCAACACAACTCACAGAAGAAAACGAAGAGCTTTATTTGCAAAGGCAAATCCACTTATTCACTCGTACAAAATGTGCAACACAAAAACTACCACAGAGGATGCAGAAAACAAAAACAACAGAAAACCCGCTCACTCAAAACATATACAACAGGAGCTGGTGGTGCAATGATATGGGAATTGTGGGCCGATGCACATATCCAGTATTTCTCAGGTATGTGTCTGCTGATGGCGATATCGATATAAACATCTATAAAATAGAGAGTCTGGGACTCAGTCTTTTAGTTCCTTTAAAGTCAACATGAACTGAAAATCAGGAGCATTCTTCTTCTTTTAATGCGCTGTATTTCTGAGTAAAACAGGATATTCAGGAGGGAAATAATTAGAAGCGAGACTTAAATATTCATCGGGATTTCACTGGATTGTGAAAAGCGGGTGTTCCAAAATGAACATGGAGACCCGAATGCTAGTCTACAATCCATCTTAGAGAACCACTTACTTCCTGCAACACCTCTGGCACCTGCACTGGAGGAAGCAAACAAAATCCTGGGAGTACAGGAGGTGCAGAAAGAGCAGAAAGAGGGGGAACATGCCATGATATTATTGTTTAGTATAATTTTTCCCCACCCCTGGTGTACGGTAATGTAATGAATTTTCAGAAGGCCTTTAAAAGTGGGCTAAATTCACTACACTTCTGTTAAAGACTACAAAAAATAAGAATTTTATCTTTTAATTGATCAGATGAATTGTGCTTAATATTACAAAGGACATGAACAAACAATGTAAAATGTCTATTTTGATTTCAGGCTAACTTTAGCGTGCAACAGATGAGTCAACTCTGTAGAACCATAAAAGGAAAACATGCTAATTAAACATATAAAAACGTCCTACAGATTCAAGTTTAAGACAAAAATGGAAAAAGGAGCAAGCAGCCTAATTCAGGAATTGCAAATAAAGAACATGCAATCTATTCCAGAAAAACACAGTGAACACCTCACACATGAGGTCACCAGAACTGCAAATCCTCTCACAAAATCTGACTTAAGAATACTAATTTAGGCAAGACACAAACTCACCAGCACTCCTTCTATTTTAACACTGTCTCAAGAGTCTTCCAGTTTCCTTTCACTTGGTGTGCGTGCCTGTATGTGTGTAGACTGGTGTGTGCGTGTGTGTATGTGTGTGTGTGTGTGTGTGTGTGTGTGTGTGTGTGTGTGTTAGTTAAGACTCACAACAGATGCAAAGCCATCTTATGTTACACCAGAGAGAAATAACCAGCAACAAAAAAATACTCCCATAAGCATTACATGGATGGATGGATAGGACAGAAAATGAGAGAGAGAGCAAGAGAGAGAGAAAGCAGAGGAGAGAGAGGAGAGAGAGAAACAGAGAGAGAGAGAGAGAGAGAGAGAGAGAGAGAGAGAGAGAAAATGTATGAGTGTGCAAAATCCACTACATAAAAAACACTCATTAGAGGGCCTGATGTTGCACACTTTACGTAGCAGACCTGAGAGACAGAAAGCATGTTTGTAGGTGAGCAAGAGGGAGACAAACCAAAGGAGGGAACCACCTGCCATCCCACACACACACACACAAATATAAACTGGCTCCACCGCTTGTCCTCCCTAGAAGATTAGTTAGAGCTGATTAGGCAGAAGGATAAAAAACTCCTTGTACTCCCTCACTGTTACTGAAATAGGCACAGACACATGAGGGAGCCTGTGCCTGGAAACTAATCACACATCATCAATCCTAACAGAGATGGAATATCTGTATGAATGGGTACCGGTACTGGGCCAATATCAACAGAAAATGCTGGAAGGGACATCGGAGAGGAAAAAAAATGAATCTGATCCAATCTAGCCTGAAATATCATAGGCTCACGTTGTGTGATCTGATGGTGTTAGTAGGGGTGGGCAAAATGGCAAAAAAAGATATACATAAACATTTTCACAACACACAATAAGGATCAGGATATTTTGACACACTGGCACACCGTACACGTAGTTCTACTTTTAAAAACAGCAGTACAATGATTAATATTCATAATTCTTCATAATTTATACTGCACTAAATCTAACTAAACAGACCTAATTACACTATTTTAATGAAACATGCAGTTAGTCAGTATTCTTTAAGTACTGACGATATCCATGATATCCAGACCCACATGGTGTATCACAATAATAGAATTTATCACAGTAATAATAAAATATCATATTGCTCACCTATAGTTGTTAGCTGTGTATATATGTGTGGGAGTAATAGCTCACTTTTAGATGCTCATCATAAGTGACGTGCTTCAATTAAATCAATTTTTTCTGTGTCACAAAAAGTGGTATTGTGTTATCTCTAAAACCTAGTAATCATACACATTTATCACATTGACCTTCACTCTCAATCATCAAGACTGTGTGTTTTGTATATTGTTGTAAACAACAGTTCGAAAGCAAAGAGTTCTATTTCATTAAAAGTGCAGAGGCCTTTAATGTTCCTGCACACAGGTCAAGATG